TTTTTTTTTCCCCATGCTCTCTGTGTACCAAGGATTGTGCTGGGCTCATAAATTAGTTCTGGGCCTGGCACAGTGGCTCACATCTGTATTCCTAGCACTCTGGGAGGCCCAGGCAGGTGGATCACCTGAGGTCAAGAGTTGGAGACCAGCCTGGCCAACATGATGAAACTCCGTCTCTACTAAAAATACTACAATTAGCCGGGCATGGTGGCAGGCACCTGTAATCCCAGCTACTTGGGAAGCTGAGGCAGGAGAATGGCTTGAACCCAGGGGGAGGATGTTGCAGTGAGCTGAGATTGGGCCACTGCACTCCAGCCTGGGTGACAGAGCAAAAACTCCGTCTCAAAAAAAACACAATTAATTAAAAGAAAAAGTTGGCCAGGCTCAGTGGCTCATACCTGTAAAACCAGCACATTGGGAGGCTGAGACGGGGAGATCACGAGGTCAGGAGATCGAGACCATTCTGGCTAACATGGTGAAACCCTGTCTCTACTAAAAAAAAATTAAAAAAATAGCCGGGTGTGGTGGTGGGCACCTGTAGTCCCAGATGTTTGGGAGGCTGAGGCAAGAGAATGGCACGAACCCAGGAGGCGGAGCTTGCAGTGAGCTGAGATCGCACCACTGTACTCCAGCCTGGGCGACAGAGTGAGACTGTGTCTGAAAAAAAATAAAAATAAAAGAAGAAAAAGAAAAAGTTAATTCTGTTCTCTGTGAAGCCACTAACAGCTCGTCAGGTGACACCGGGAGTTTAGTTAGCCCTGCCCCAGGCTCTCAGAGCTTAAGCTCCACGGGGCCAGCTGCAGTTACAGTGCATCCCAGGCATCCAAGGACACGCTATTGGAATCCAGGCCACATGGTTTCCAAACCGTTCCCACGGGAGTGTGTCCCTGTATAGGATTCACTGCGTCTGGGTGACCCTCACTGACCTGGGTCCACATTTCTGTCTCCTCTGCAGTCGACACTGATTTCAGTTGGCTGTGATCTGGATAAAAAGATCGTCATCCAGAAGTAAGTATGCTGAGGCCGGGTGCCGTGTCTCACGGCTGTGATCCCAGCACTTTGGGAGGCCAAGGTGGGCAGATCACTTGAGGTCAGGAGTTCAAGACCAGCCTGGCCAACATGGCGAAACCCCGTCTCTACTGAAAAAAAAAAAAAAAATTATGCGTGGTGGCAGGCCTGCAATCTCACCTACTTGGGAGGCTGAGGCTGGAGGATCACTTGAACCTGGGAGGTGGAGGCTGCAGTGAGCTGAGATTGAGCCACTGCCCTCTGCACTCCAGCCTGGGCAACACAGTAAGACTCTTGTCTCGAAAAACAAACAAACAAACAAACAAACAAAAGAAGTAAGTATGTTGCTATTGGAGTGGAGTGGGGAGAGGGGAGGAGGGGAGTTGTTGGGGCACCATTAGCCACATGGTAACAATTGCTGAGGTGGATGACTTTCGATTATTCTGTTTAGTTTTGTATGTATTTACTGTTTCCATAATAAAAAGTTAAATGATTCACCCTAATAGGTTAACTTTGTTTCCAGCACATTGGACTCCCCTCTTTCACCTGTTGGTGATATCCACTTTTTTTGTTTTTTTTTTTTTTGAAACCGAGTCTCGCCCTGTCGCCCAGGCTGGAGTACAGTGGCACGATCTCAGCTCACTGCAACCTCTGCCTCCCAGGTTCAAGCTATTCTCCTGCTCAGCCTCCCTAGTAGCTGGGATTACAGGCAGCCGTTATCACACCTGGCTAATTTTTGTATTTTTAGTAGAAACGGGGTTTCACCATGTTGGCCAGGCTGGTCTCAAAGTCCTGACCTCAAGAGATTTGCCCGCCTCAGCCTCCCAAAGTGCTGAGATTACAGGCATGAGCCACCGCGCCTGGCCTAACACAATTTTTAAAATAAATTTTTTAAAAAGCCAGACCACTATCCTGGCTAACATGGTGAAACCCCGTCTCTACTAAAAATACAAAAAACTAGCCGGGCGTGGTGGCGGGCGCCTGTAGTCTCAGCTACTTGGGAGGCTGAGGCGGGAGAATGGCGTGAACCCGGGAGGCGGAGCTTGCAGTGAGCCGAGATCACGCCACTGCACTCCAGCCTGGGAG